CCCCACGGGAAGTCCGTGAGGGGTGGCTGCTGCTCCGGCCCCTCCAGCGCAGGCACCACAGGGGGGGGGTTGCTCCGGGGCTGGGGAAACAGAAGAGAAAGAAACCACCATAAACCAACTGGTGAGGTGGGGCAGGGGGGAAGACACAAACCAGCAGACTAAGGATGCTCAGTCTCACTTTTAACATCCCTTTTCTTGTCCCTCTGGGTAAAGTGTTCGAGTGTGACAGGTTCCCCACGCTGGGTCCCACGCTGGGGTGGCTGTGGCTGTCCCAGGTGCTTGCTGTCAGGAGCTCACACTCATCTCAAGTTCCCTCTAGCTTTCTGTTCCCACTCCCACTCTCACTGTAAGCCCAGGAGACAGTTACACCCTGTGCTGAACCTCCTGGCAGCCCGGGCAGAGCCATCTTTGAAATGACAGCCCTTCCTCAGCAGGGAAGGTGACAGGATGCAGTGGGTCAGTCTAGGCAGCTGAACTGAAACATGAAAAGGAAAACAAGCTGCCTGAGTTCAACAGCAATAGAATTCTCTGTCCTGCTCCTCTAAGGAAGAACAAATCACCTCAGGTCAGCCAAACAGATTTTGTCCAGCCTGAACCTAAATGTTCTGCTGTGTTTACCTGCTATTTTGGCCCTGCTCTTCCATCTTTAAATAGCAACTTTTGAGGCATTTATTGCCAGGTCATTCTTCCTGGTTCCTCTGGGAGATGTGCCTCCTGGAATCTTTATACCTTTTATTTTAAGTTTGGAATTAAAGAGTGAAGAATCCATCTGGATACTGCTCAGCTCTGTGGTGGGACTGTCCCCTAAGTACTGCCCAGACAGCAGCATTTACTGACCACCCTGTGCACCCACTCAGGGAACTACTTGAATTCTCCTTCCTCAGGTGTTCCAACATAAAGCTCCTCAAGCTGAAAGTCCACAGCCTTCTGTCCTGCTCAAACCCCATTAATGTCCAGCACAGGGCAGACAGGGGCAGTGCTAGAACAACCATGTCCCATGGATGCAAAGCCATAACATTATAGTCATTAAAGACATTTTACTAATTGAATCCAGCACAGCCTGGGGCTCTTGCTAGAAGGAGGGGAATTTGCTGTCATTTGTAGGGAGGTATTTCAGACTTACTGCAAAGTTGGTGATCAGTGGCTGAGAGGTGTAAGTCAGAACAGATGATGGTCCAACCAGTGTGTAACTGGGACACACGGGCTGAACATACATATCTGCTGTGTATGGGCAGCTGACTGCTTCGTGGGACACGTAATCAGGGTAGGTGGTCCACTGAGTCAAGGGCTGTAAGGATGTGGGAGAGGGCTGGGAGATCCAGCCAGAACAGAGAGCTCCTTCATCAGTGAGAGGCACTGCAGGGGCAGCCACGTCCATCTCAATGCAAGGCTGGCCTGAAAAACAGGAGAGGAATAAAGCCCAGCTCAGCATGGCCCTCCCTGCAGCAGGACAGACCAACAGACACTGAAGGGAACATTTACCCATTGGTGAGTAGGAAGGAAGCGGCTGGTGGGGCAAAACAACCTAGGAGAGAGAAGAAAAATATCCAGGGATTAAGACCATAAACACTGAATTTAATCACAAGTGAGGCTCGTGCAGGCTGGGCTGGTGGGAGGGGGGCCCGCTCTCAGCAGGGAGGTTTGAACCTGAGGATCTTTTAGGTCCCTTCCAACCTTCACCATTCCATGATCCTATGATTTTTGTAAAGGGAAGACCTGGCTTTAGTGGCCCCCAACTCTTTATACCCAGACTGTCTTAACAAGGGACAGAGCATGTCACTTGGAGGTGTCCCTGCCCATGCAGGGGGGTTGGGTCTAGATGACCTATAAGGTCCCTTCCAACCCAAACCATTCCATGATTCTATGATATCTCTTAGCAGCTGATCAGCAGCTACTCCTTCCATGTCAGTGCCTGGATGTCCCACCTGCCTCTAGAGAAGGGCCAGGAGAGCTGAGCCTGCAGCCACTGCACAAAGTGTGCATGTTCCTGCAGCTCAAGGAGGCCTTGAACAGTGTTTAGATCCTGAGCTGCAAAGGGAATTCCTCTTCAGAGAAGAGCAAACCAACCTGCTTCCTCATGGGAGGACAGACAGGGGTGACACCAAGATGTAACCAGCCAAGGGTGGCTCTGGCTGGGCTCTTCTGGTGCTCTGGAACAAGCTGCTTAATTTGGAGCCACTTTCTGCTCCTAAGGGCCAGATCCTGCCAAGTGCAAAGCACTTCCACCCTTCCATGAAGCCAGTGGTGACTACAGGCACTTTAGCACCCAAAAGACCCTCCCTCTAAAACAAAGAGACATTCAATGGGATCTCCAGGCAACATGAGGCAGCATCACCCTCAAAACACTTTTGAGATGCAAAGGTTTCCTTCATTGGCCAGGGACAACCAGGTGCTACAAAGGCTCCTCAGCTACTCAGCTGCTGAGGAGGAATTTTTGAGCTGTGTTTAGTTCTTCTCCTACCGTGGCAGCTGCAGTTGCAGTGGCATTATGAAGATTTCCCCGTTTCCTTTTCAACAGCTCCTTCACTGGCTCTTTGACACGGACACCTTGGTAGGGGCGAGGCTGTGGCTGCTGCTCTGGAGCAGAAGCTGAGGAAAAAAGCATAATAATAAAGGAAGGTGACATTTCATTTGCTTTCCTGCCATTTTCATGGAGTCCCATGGCAGCCTGTGGGCTGTCCTAGTCAGTGTGGCTGGAGTCTGGAGTCAGAAACATTTTGTTCCTTAGTTAATGAAGTTTTTTAGCCCAGAGACAGGCTGGGAGAGTTGGGGTGTTCAGCCTGGAGAAGAGAAGGCTCCAGGGAGACCTTAGAGCAGCTTCCAGTGCCTGAAGGGGCTCCAGGAAAGCTGGGGAGGGACTTGGGACAAGGGCAGGGAGGGAGAGGACAAGGGGGAAGGGATGAAAACTGGAAGAGGGAGATTGAGGTGAGACATGAGGAGGGAATTGTGGAGTGTGAGGGTGGTGAGAGCCTGGCCCAGGTTGCCCAGGGAAGCTGTGGCTGCCCCATCCCTGGCAGTGTTGAAGGGCAGGTTGGATGGGGCTTGGAGCAGCCTGGGCTGGTGGGAGGTGTCCCTGCCCATGCAGGGGGTGGGACTGGATGGGCTTGAAGGGCCCTTCCAACCCAAACCATTCCATGATTCTATGTGATGTCTCTCTGCTGCTTGGAAGCTGTGACCACACAAAGGGAAACCTTCAAAACTGAGCAGCAAGGCAGGCAGAGCAAAACAGAAGAACAAAAATAGAGGTAACAAAGAAAGGCTGGTTTTCTTCCAACAGATTAGAGACTAACCCTTTCATTCTGCTCTTCAATGAGCTTTCAGTGAGTTCATTGTGATGTTC